TGCCCCTTTAAGGGCTCCGGGGCTGGGAGGGGGGCAGAAGAGTTTCCCTGGTGGTGCCCAGAGTGGCCACCAGGGAACGCTGGGGAGGGCTAGCCTCCCACTAGTTCGAATTAAGGGGCTACACACCCTTTAATTCGAACTAGGCTTAGTCCTCGTGGAATGAGGTTTACCTAGTTCGAACTAAGCGCTCCGCTAGTTCGAATTAAGTTTGAACTAGCGGAGTGCTAGTGTAGCGCCTATCAAAGTTAATTTGAACGAACGTCCGTTAGTTCAAATTAACTTTGTAGTGTAGACATACCCTTACTTTCCCCCGACACTGACTGAGCCACAGCAAAAGCAAGCACGTTGACTGCTGGAGGCCTTTCAAAAGGCCTTTACCACGTTTCCCAGACAAACCATGGTGGTGGCCCATGTAATTCAGACAACGCCAGGCCAGAAGAGGGTAATTGCCCCCTTCCGCGACAGATGAGAGAGGTGGTAGAAAAAGAAGTCCAAGCGATGCTGGAACTCGGGGTAATCAAGCGATCTAAAAATGAGTGGCGAAGTCCTGTAGTGCTGGTGATGAAACCTGATGGATTGTGTACAATTCTGCATCAATTTGCAGAAGGTAAATGCCATCTCTAAATTCAATGCCTACCCGATGCCCCAGATTGAAGAACTGCTGGACCACCTGGGAACAGCCAACTACATCACAACTCGTGGGGGGGGGAGCGGGTCCCTCCCAGCGGCCTCGCGGAGGGAGGAGCGGGTCCCTCTCAGCGGCATCACCAGGAGCTGCGGGGCACTAGGCAGCAGATACTGCAGGCCAGTCACACGGTGCCGACCTGAGCTCAGCACTGGCTTGGTACGTGAACGGGCCTGGCCACTGAAGGGTTTTGCCATAAGGCTTGAGCCTGCCGGGGCAGAGGTTGCAGGAGGGAGCGTCCCAGGAGGCGGGAGGGGCCGTGTGCTGTAGAGGCGCAGGAAGTACGAGTGGGTGGGTGTGTCCCGCTGGCCCCTCCCGCTTGGCGCTCCCTGAGGTCCCGCCACCCGCTGGCCCAGGGTCCAGCACCTCAGCTGTGGAGGCTGCACAGCCCCCCCCTCCCCAGCTGCCTCTCGCTGTGGCTAAGTGGCCAATTCCCCCGACTGGCTGGATCGATCCCTTGCGGGAATGGCGTCTGGTTCATCCGGTCCAGGAGAGTTGGCATCCGCAGGGCTGACCCCAGTGTGGGCGGCGAGGGGCACAAACAGGTTTGGGGACAGCTCTGCACCCACCCTCGAAATAGTTCCAGCACCTCTGGCTCAGGGTGCAAGCTGGCTGCAGCAAGCAGGCATCTGTGAAAGCAAACGCTAAGCCAGAGCCCACTCCCTGCAGCGCGCTTCGGGGACAGTCATCTCTGCCTGGGGTCTGCCCTGTGGCCTTGCTGGAGAAAGGGGAGGAGGGAGAGGGCAGAGTCCTGGCTGAAAACCCCTCCCATCCCTTCTGGCACAGCCTGTCACGGGCAAGACGAATGGCAAACATTGAGTTAGCGTATTAATAATCCTTTGCTTCTGGCTCACTGGGTCTAATCCAAGCCTAGTGACCCAAAAGTACCCAGAGAATACTCACCATTGTTCATGCTAAAAGCCAGGGGACCCCCCCTCTTCTCCAAACAATGCCTGTGTCTCATGGATGGAGTGTGTCCCCGCCAGCTCCCCAGGACAGCACGTCCTCACCCACCCCATGCAGCTCAGCCAGGCAATTAGCATTTGAAGGCCAGTCAGCACCTGGCAGCTGTGTGCCTTGTGCAGTGCACCGCACACAGCTCTCCGGCATGGGGGCAGCATTCCCTAGGCACAGGAGGGAAGAGCCTCCGTGTCACTCCAGCCAGCTGGCCTGAATGCAATGCCTGGCATGCGAAACAGCACAGGGCCAGCTGTTCTGCCCCAGGCGCTCCCACGGCAGAGGGCCCCTTCCGCCCACGCTCCGTTGTGCTTACTGCAGGCGTGCAGTGGGCATGGATGCAGCATTGCCAGCACCACAAACCTGGAATCCTGAGACTGAAGAAATGAAGCAGGGGCTGGGGGGGAGCTGGCTTTGGGCTTCCCACGAAGCTCCCAGCATGAGGGCGGGACACTGAGTGTTGAGAAGTCACTTCCTAAAGTGCCCACAAAATAAAAAATGCAGGCGCCTTCGCACCTCCCTCCCCCTCGTGCCCCGGCTCCCCAACTCTCCGGCCTCCTTCCCTGGCTCCTCCTTTTGCGCAGTAGCTGGTTAAGCTAAGCCCAGGCTCCGCCACAGGCGTTACCTGGACATGCTAATTGCACGGGGGCCGTCTTCACCAGGGGGCAGCCAGCACACGTGGCCTGGCAGTGGCTGGCACTGCGCAAGAGGCCCCTTTTCTCCGGGTGTTGAGGCACCTGTAGGCGACAGCAGGTGCATCGCTCCTCCAGGGCAGTGGCCGGACAGTAGCTTGGGGTGGGTCTGGGCTTTTCTGTCACCTCTGGCCAAGGCTTTGCTCCATCTCTGGGCACGACTCACCTCCTCCTTCCCTCCGCTCCACAGGCGAGGGCCCCCGGGGGTAATAGCTGCCTCCCACCAGCGAAAGTGGCCCTGTAGAGCCATGCTGAGCTGGGAGACTTTGCCCCCACGCTCCCTCCCGCTGCACAGCCATTGGGCAGAGGAAGGCCCATGCAGGATGGGCACGGCGCCAAGTCAGGAGTGGGCAATCATTTTTGAAGGGGGGGCCAGTTCACGAATTTCAGAAGTGGTTGTGGGCCTCCCTGGAATGGGCAGGGCCTCTTGTGAAAGGGGCGGGGCCTCTGGCAAAAGGGGTGGGGCAGAAGACTTTGTGTACCTCCCCCCCACCACAGACCTTAATTGGCCCGGGGTGGGAGAGCACAGCTGTTGGTTCCCTCTGGTGCCATGTATCCCCGGCAGGGGGAGAGGAGACTTCCTGCACTCCCGTTTCCAGGTCTCGATTGGCCTGGGGCACAGGGGAGTGGCAGCATGGTTGAGGGCCGGACCAAAGAGCATGGCGCTATCTTGCCCACCCCTGCACGAGGTGCACAGCTATCACATTGCATAGGACAAGGAGCAATGGGCTTAAATTGCAGCAAGGGAGGTTTAGGTAGGAAAAATGTCCTACCTGTCCGGGTGGTCAAACACTGGAATAAGTTGCCTGGGGAGGTTGTGGAATCCCCACCCCTGGGGGTATTGAAGAGCAGGATAGACAGACAACATCGTCTAGGTGGTGCTTGGTCCTGCCGTGAGGGCAGGGGACTGGACTCGACTTCGCCAGGTCCCTTCCAGCTCTAAGATTGCGTTCCAGGAGGTGGCACTCAAGAGCATGGAGTGGGGGTCTTGCGTGTCATGGGAACACTAAAACGTGCCGTGCCTTGCAGCTGGGTGGGGAGCTGTGTGCAGCTTTCCCTTGGCTCTGGACAAGAGCTCTACCCTGGGGCCTGAGCAGCAGCCAACTTCCCACCGGCCTTAGCAGCGCTTGTCCAGCTGTGCCAGCCAGGCGAGGAGTGGAGCATGACCGGCTCCATTCAGGCCCGTCCCCTCCCGTGGCAAGAGCTGGCCATGCAGTGAGCCCTGCTATTCTTACTGCCGCCGCCGCTCTCCTGCGCTGGACCCAGCATGCCGGCGTGTCAGCCTGGCTCCCTCTCAAGCGGCGCACAGGAGGATGCTGTCCAGGAAGGCGGATGTCTTGCTGAGGGGAGCGGCTGGCAAACACTTGGGCCCAAGCAGGAAGAGAAATTCTTTGCCTTGTGCTATTGTTCGGTAGCCAATATTCTATGTCTACTTCCTTAACTGGAGCCTCAGGGCTCCTCCTGGCCCACGCAGCTCCCTCTGCCGCCTGCCTCTCCCGATGAACTCCCCTGCCCGGTCTCCTCGCCTACAGATGGGCTGCGATTGACCCCGGAGATTCAAAGGCCAGAGGCGAGCTGCTAGGCAGCTCCTGGCGTCACCACGGTAAGCACGAATGTGTTGTGTTGCACGGGCTGTACCTCCCCAGTCTGGCCATTCTCGGTGATCCCACGTGTGGCGGAGATGCCTGCACCGTTGTGTCTGGCCACAGGCGCTGAGAGCCACGTGCTGCCTAAGGGGAAGGCAGAATCCGGAGGCTTCTCGCATTGGATCTTCAATCAGGCCTTAGTTTGGGATGTCCCATTGCCTATGATTCAAGCCAGTGCTGGGGCCCCTGGTGTCACCCAGCCCGTCTGTGTGCACTGGGACTCCCCTGGCTCTTGTCAGCTTGTGACAACCGCAGTGCTCATGGTGGGGTGTGATGCTGCCTGCAGGATGCCGCAATGTGGGTCCCAGCCTTGGGGCAGCCTGCTGGAAATCTGGACACGAGCCAGGTGAGAGTTCTGCAGTCAGATTTCACCAGTGGGGCCACACACAGACGGTCCCTGGAGCATCCGCTCTGTCTCACCTTTGTGACAGCTGATCCCTCACACCAAGAATACGCAGGCTACTGCCAGGCCCAAAGGGACGGTCACCCAGCCCAACGGCACCTCTAAGCTCGCCCCAAAGACAGTGTCTGCAGCCAATCCTGTCATGCCCCCAGAGTTTATGAAAACTGGACTTATGAATATGTATAACTCAAAAGATGCTTTAGGAAAATGCATCATGTGACAGTTACAAGCTGCTGCAGGTGTACACTCTACTGCTGTGCATGTATCATTCTTGTATGTGAAGTTAGGAATATGAAGTGTGGTTCCATTTATAAATCTAGAGTTTGTAGTGAGAGCTAGTCGTGGTAGAGCCAGAAGAACTTAATGGTCCAGAAGTTTTGGTAACGATCTGTGAATGGTTTTGTTTTTCCTATAAGCCTGGATTGTAGTTGGTTCTACCAGGACAAGGGGCCAGGGCACCTGATGCTGGAACCCATTTTGTATTTTGTACTTTTCCAACCAAGGAGAGAAAAGTTTCAACTGAGCACAAAGAACTCCCATGTTGGGCAAAAAGAACATAGAGAGGGGGACCAAACAGTAGGGGGTGGCCAAGCACTCGGAGACTCCCACTTAACACTCAAGATGCCTGCTGGAAACATCTAAGGCTGAACGGGGGAAGGATCGGGCCCAAGGTAGGAGGCTGCCTAGCTTGTGAAAGAGATGGGTAGGACAAATGTTAGGGTAAGAACTTGCGTGTAACAAGTTCCTTAGTGTGATAGTATCAGCTGGCTTGGCTTGTTTATTTTAGCTTAGTAACTTAGGGTATGTCTACACTAGCCCCCTAGTTCGATCTAAGGAGGCTAATGAGGGCAACCGAAATTGCAAATGAAGCACAGGATTTAAATATCCCGCGCTTTGTTAGCATGTTCCCAGCCGGTCACCATTTTATAAATTGACTAGCCCGAAATAACTGCCCGTGTCTACATGTGGCAATGAAACAGGATTCCGAATTAAAGCCCTAAATCGAATTAGCTGTTAAACCTCATTGTAGGAGGAATACCAGCTAATTCGATTTAGGGCTTTAAATTGGAATCCCGTTTCACTGCCGCATGTAGAGGTGGGCAGCTACTTCGGGCTAGTCAATTTCTAAAAATGGCGACCGGACGGGAACATGCTAATGAAGTGCGTGATATTTAAATCCCGCACTTCATTTGCAATTTTGGTCGCCCTCATTAGCCTCCCTAAATTGAACTAGGGGGCTAGTGTAGACATACCCTATCTGTGATCTGTCTGTTTTCACTGGAAATCACTTCAGTCCTACATTTTATACTTAATACACTTTTTTTATTATTAAGTCCAGTGTAAATAACTGTTCCCTGGGGATGGGGGCGGGACCACTGTGCACCTTTCTCTGTCATTGATAAATGGGCAAACCTTATGAGCTTTCTGTGTTTAAAACTTGTATACAGAGTAAAATGGATTTATATGGGGTTTTGGTCTCTCTAAGGGCTGTGCTCCTGGATGCTCTCAATGGCTTTACAGCTGAGCTCTCCCAGAGCTGAGCTGGTTCAGCACTGGTGTTGCTCTGCGGGGGGCTGTTACCCCAACTCTGTGCCTGGGCTGGGGGAGAACAGAGCTTCTGGCCCAGCAGGGCAGGGTAGTGAGTGCCCAAGAGACCAGGTAGGCCGGCTCAGTGGCATGACTAGCACACCAGCTGACAGTTCCAAGAGGATTCCTGTGGTCAAACTGTCATACCTGTCAAACCCTATGAAGCTTTATTAATCAAGGAAAGGAGAGGAGAGATATTTACAAGGTAAAGAAGGGTCAGCAGAGGTGCACACATGACTTACAGTCTTCTGTTTCAAAAGGCAATTGAACATTCTGAAATCAGCATGCTCCATATGTCCTAAGCCAGCCAGAGCACTGGGGAATCTCTTGCTTATACTCCAAAACCTTCCCCTCCCTTCCCTGAATCCAAGCAGCACAGAGATACCTCGGCCATCTGAAGAAGGGGGCTGTACCCACGAAAGCTCATGATCCCATCTACATGTGTTGTCAGTCTGTAAAGTGCTACCAGACCATTTGCTATTTGTTAAGTTTTTCCTGTTACAAACGAACTCGGCTCCCCTTTGAAAGTCCTTTCTGTAGTTTGGTGTTTTATCCTCCTCCTGCCATGGTCTCTGAGCTGCCAACTCAGCTGATGGGAGGCATCCACTTTCCTGAATCATCCTCAGGGGGGAGAGCAGAAAAAACAAAGTCTTTTGTCCTTTTAGCATCCCACAATAGTCTGAAGCTCAGCACTTCCCCCTACAACCCCCCAACCCCCCAACAACCACAGGACATACCACACTAATACCAACCCTGGTACCTTCCTTTGCAACAAACCCCATTGCCAGCTTTGTCCACATATTTATTCTGCTGATACCATTATTGGACCTAACCAAGTGAGTTATAAGATCAAGAACACATATTCCTGCGCATCCAGAAATATAATCTATGCTATCATGTGCCGAAAGTGTCCGTCTGCTATGTACATTGGACAAACATCTCAGACACTTCGCCAAAGGATTAATGCCCACAAAACAGATATCAGACAAGATCACAAAGAAAAAACAGTTTCTTGCCATTTTAACCAGAAAGGACACTCTCTCAATGACTTGACCACCTGCATTCTGCTACAAAGACCTTTTACATCTGCACTTGAAAGGGAATCCTCTGAACTGTCATTCATGTTAAAATTCGACACTTGCCAACAAGGACTTAACAAACATTTGAACTATCTCACCCATTACCAAGACAGTTTCCCCAATTATCACCTCTAATACCATTAACTCACAAACATCCCACTCTCCCTACCTCTAATATCATCAATTCACAGACACTTACCTTCCTTCCTCCCCCTTCCCACCCCCCCGCATCCCCCTTCTGTTCTGCAATGTGATTTGTCCTTTTCATATTTGTTCATTTTTTTAAATTGTATCCTTTGGTATATATGGTTGTGACTACTTTCTTCCACTATTTGATCTGAGGAAGTGGGTCTGGCCCACGAAAGCTCATCATCTAATAAACCATCTTGTTAGTCTTTAAAGTGCTACATTGTCCTGCATTTTGCTTCAACTACCCCAGGCTAACACGGCTACATTTCTATCACCAATCTGGAGGGGAGCTAGAGCGTTAGTGTGGCCTAATTAATGTCTCTCTCCCTGCAGGTGACTACACAGTCACAGATGCTCACAAGGCAGCTACTCAGCTATAGGCTTCACAACAGGGGGTATGCAGGTGATACAAGTGAGAAGGACTCACAAGTGTTTTGTTAAAGCCACCCAGTATAATTCTAAGAGCAGATTTTACAATGCCAGGCTGATTCCAGCCAAGGATTTGGCAGAGCTCAGCTGAGACCTGGGGACCTTGTTGTGAGCTGACACCTGATCTCCTGCATCACAGTTGTATTCTGCCATCTGTGCTCATGGGGAGTGTCTGCCTCTTTGCAGCCAGTCCTAGAAGGTGGGGTTTCTTAGGCTTGAGGGAAGTCCTGAAACTTCTCAGCCTCCCAGTCAGACAGCTGCAGTGTACAGAGACGGGAGGCGGGCACAGGAGCAGGATGACTTAGGGATATGAGATGCCTATGCAAATCCAGTGAGTGAGGTACCTCAGCACTGGGAGAAAGCAGGTTACAGGCACAGGTAAGAGCTAAATTGGTGTGAATGAGTGTGCACGTGACAGGTCTGAGTGTGTATGTGTGCGTGAGTGTGCACGTGACAGGCCTGAGTGTGTATGCGTGCGTGAGTGCACGACAGGTCTGAGTGTATATGTGCACGAGTGTGCACGTGACAGGTCTGAGTGTGTGTGAGAGTGTACATGGACGGGGTGTGTGTGTGTTTATATATGCAAGGGAGCAAGTATGTGCTTGCAATGAGAAATGGTAAGGGCGGGTGGGTTGATTCGCTAGACTGTGGAAATGAATTGTGCGTTACAAGTGCTAGTGAACGTGGGCTATTGATGTGTTTTAAACAGACTCGGCAGCCGGCTGTGTACAAGTGTGTTGTCCGGTTGTGGTCAGCCCTAGCTTCACGGGACTGGCCTATGCTAAGACTGAATGTCTGTGAGGTTTGGGACGTCTACTTGCTGCCATTCACCTTGCCATCGTTCCTTAACATTGGCCGTGACTTCCTTCGCTTGCTGCCAGGGGGCTTGAGGGATCTTAGATGCGATGTTGGAGGCTGATCAAGGTATTTCTGGACGGGAAGGGGTTGGCTGCTGCGGTTGATACGTTGGTGCTTCTGTAGATGAATGCTTGGTGGGACGATGTTTGCCAGCAGCGGTAACCATTCTACGCTGGTAAATTGCATTAGCCCAGTTTACAGAGCCCAACCATGAGCCATCCCAGTAGGAGCCAGTTGGCCAGGGCAAGAGATGCAACAAATTCTTAAGAAATGACCCAAGAAAGCCCCTCTTTGGCGGTGTTCCAATGCATGCCCTTGTAACAACAGACCACACTTTGCAGGGCTCCTTCGGGGAAACTTCTGTGAAAGTACAAGGGTGGATCTAACACCGACCTGCACTGAAATAACTAAG